AATGTATACGATGATATTCGTATAAACTTGTGCAGAGATGGAGGCAAGTATGACCTGAAACTTATCACCACTTTGCCTTGCTAAATTTGTTTGTTTATATATATATACTCCGAAGTCCTAACCATTCTAGCTTTTCCAAAACTCCAAAGTCCCTCTATATATATACACTAGTTATTGTCTGTGCCTAAAGACACGGAGTAATAAAAAAATAATTAACAATAAACATATTTGTATTCACATCTAAAATCAAAGTACAAATATAGAGGAGAAAGAAAAGAATTTAAGCATCAATTATAGTAGAGGTGAGTAGTGGTAATGGTGGTAGGAGATGGTGATGGTTGTGGTGAGTCCAAAACTCCGAAGTCTCTCTCTATATATATACTAGTTATTGTATGTGCCTAAAGACACACAGTAATAAAAAAATAATCTACAAAAAATATATTTGTATTTACATCTAAAATCAAAATACAAATATAGAGGAGAAATAAAAGAATTTAAGCATCAATTACAGTAGAGGTGAGTAGTGGTAGTGGTGGTGGGAGATGGTGATGGTTGTGGTGGGTGACAACAGTGATGGTGGTGGTGAGTTTTTGGGTGACGGGTGGTGGTAGTGGTAATGATAGTGATGGGTGACGGCGGTGGTGGTGGGCGACGATGATGGTGATTGATAGTAGTGGGGCGACAACGGTGGCGGCAACAGCAGCGGCTGGTTGTGGTGGTGGCCAATGACGGTGGTGGTGGTAGACGACGATGAGTGCTTTTTGGGATAACAGTGTGATGGATGGTGACGAATGACGGTTGTAGTAGGTGTGGTAAGAGGAGGGTGACGGTGGGCAACAATGGTGTTGATGGGCGCTGACAGTGGTAGTGGGATGATGGTGGTAATGATAATAAATATAAAAATGAGATAACAATGGTGGTGACAATAAATGACAATGGTAGTAATCTATGGGGGTGGTGCGGATGACTGTCGTGGGGGTGGGACGATGGTAGTGGGACAATGGCGATGATAGTAAGGTGGCGACAACGATGGTGATGGTCGAAGTGGTGGTGGTGGGGTGACGGCAGTGGGGGTGGCGACAACGACAATAGTGGGGACGATAGTGATGATGGTAGTTGTTGTAGCAGAGATGATGATAGAGGAGTGGTAGTGTTGGTGGTGGTGGTGGTGGGATAATAGGGGTGAACGTAATGGTGATAGGGGTGGTGGGGTGATAATTGTGGTAGGGTGGTTGTAGTGGTGGTGGCGACGACGGTGGTGGTGATGGAGGTTGTTGTGGTAGAGGTGGTGGTAAGGGTGGCAACGGTGATGGTAGTGGTGATGGTGATGAGGGAGGGGGGTGGCGCGGTGTGGTAGTGGTACGGTGGCGACAGTGGTGGTGGTTGTGGCAGTGGTGACGATGGTGTGGTGATTATGGTGGGACTGGTGGTGGTGGTGGTTTGTGGTGGGGCTGGTGATGGTGGAGATAGCTATGATGGTGATGGTGGTGGAGCGGTAAGGATAGTGATAATAGTGGTGGTGGTGAGGCGGTTATAAACACTAATTTTTTTTTTTAAATACTTATGAGAAGTTATAAGTTGTAGAAGTATTTTTAAAAAGTCACCCCAAACATATCCTTAGAGCTCTATTTTTTCTATTAAATTTAGGGTATTAATATTAGACGTCAGATTAATTTTAAAATAAAATTTAAAGAGATTTCAACCGCAAAAAATAAAAATTATTTTATTTGTTTTTTGAAATTTAAATTATATTGTACTTTATTAAATAAATATATATACTTTCCGGTGAGGTTGAGAAAGTAAAATGTTAACAGCTGAGGATTTGGAACCATTTATGGTAAAAGAAATAAGTGTTGAATTCTTGTAAACTAAAGAGTCACCACTAGAATTAGTGAACTTGAAGCCTCAACTTCTGTTGAAGACAAACAGTATGAGAAAACACCTCGGAAAATTTCAGATTTTGCAAAAATAGGCGGCGGGAACAAGGATTAGGATTTACCTATTAAACGAGAATGAGGATTAAAATTAGCCTTGCTAACAGAGCTAGACCGGAAATGAACGAACGTTTTTTAAACAAGTATGGCACCGAAGACTACTCCCCCACTTCCAGCCCCAAGCCATTGCCATTCCCTGTTCAAGAACTTAATTTTGGTTCCTAATAAATTTAGTTTTTCTCAATATATAAGTGACTAACTAGATTAGGTATTAAAATAGTATGATTCTACTAGTTTGTACCATTGTTACTATGGATCACTCTGGTCATACCAGCACCACCTACTTTCTTCGAATTTTTTGGATTCTATGTTTTTTTTTTACGATTTCAAGCTTTCGTGGAGACAATAAATCTTGATAGGTTCAACTAATTTGAAACTAATTGCATTTATTATTTTGAAAATATCATTGAATTGATGATTTTTGTGATATTTTTATTGAGGGTGACAATAAATAAACCTGAAAAAACAAATACTCTTAAGATTTCAATGAAATAATGAGTTTTCCATTTATATTTAGAGATATACAAAAATCCCTTCTTATCACTAACATAATTAGTAAAATCTGTCATGTTGCCACACTGTAGCAAAGATTTCAATAAATCTTATTTGATTAAATATCATTTATACATACCCTTGTAAAATTACACTATTCCAATAGAATTCCATCAATTAAATCTTATATATAACCCTATATATTACATGATGTGAGAATCTTTTACATTTATTATGCTATTATGAATCGCGTAAGAACATTCATAATAAGCATGTTATAAAGTAGTACCCCCAAAAAAGTTTGATTGTAAAATTATATCAAAGATGATTGAATATTTATCAATTTGCAAATAATTATATTTGTATATTTGTATTGATGATCAAAGAGGATTTATGCAAAAATTAAAAGAAGAATATGCTATTTTATTATTGAATAATGTTTTTGTATTCTAGTTTCTACACTGCTATTTATGGGTCTACATTCATTAATGACCATTAAACTGGCTCAGTTTCTAGCCATACCATAAAAGAAACACTATATGATCATTTAAATTGTTGTATTGATTTGAATTGTTAGAAAGAAGGAGACAAAGTTAGAATCCGCAACTACTTGCAGGTGAGAGTGAGCCCTTACCACTATGTCATTTCCTCACCTTAAACTTTATTCGTTACTGCCCTACTCATTAATTTATGACCCTTTTTTTTAACAAAAAAAAAACGTAGTAATTTTAGAACTTTATAATATAATTAAGGAGATATAGTACTTCCCTCATTAGATGGTAAAATTATATTTTTACCATAATTTTTCATTGAATATTAAACAAAAATAAATAAATAATTAGAGCAATTTAAAATTTAAATTAATAGTTTAAGATGCAATATTATAAAATAAAAATGATATAGTCTAGAAAATAATATGAAATAAGAGGCATAGTTTAAGATTGGGTCTAAAAGAGAAGTTTTTGCTATCTTGTAATTGAAAACTACAAGGGTAAATTGTAAGGGGGATATACCAAATTAGATTTATTTGATAAAAAATACACACTAAAAAATGTAAGGTTATTAAGTACTTAATTTTGATACTTATTCGTATCCAAGCACATAATTTAAATTTATTATTTTTTATTGTGACATTTTTGTCCTCCATTAATCCATGTGTATTTAATGCACCACTTTTCTTTGAAAAGTAATACATTAAACATCTTCTAATTTTATGGGAGAACTTTAATACACACACACATATATAAATATATATATATATATATATATATATATATATATATATATACATGAATACAAATTTTAAAATTCAAACAAATATATATATACGTTTTTATATATACATAAATACATATTTTTATATATACATAAATACATATATATATATATATAATACTTATGTATGTATGTATATATGTATATACTTGTTATTAAATCTCTTATCTAAATTTTGAATTATTTTTAATGCACCTTCATTCATGTATTTTTTTTTTTAGAAAGTAATTTTATTTTCAAATTAATTTAATATCCGAATAGTGTAATAATGTAACAATACCAGTGTAACACTAACAGTGTAACACTAACAATGTAACAATAAAATAATAATAGAGTAACAAGTTATTTACATAAAATATTGTACTATTACATTTTATCAAACATATAATTTCATTTAAAATAGTCCATATTTGTTTTGAATTTGTTACCATATACACAAAACTATTGAATATTATTTTTGTTACAGTATATTTGTTATAATGTTTTTGTTACACTGTTATTGTTATACTATTACATTATTCAAATTTTAAATTAATTTAAAAATAAAATTATTTTAAAAAAAAAACGCTTGAATCAAGGTGTATTAAATATAATTAGAAAACAAAATCACTTTTCAAAAAAAAAAAAACGCATGAATCAAGATGCATTAAAGATAATTCAAAATTTAAATAAGAGATTTAACAATATATATATATATATACTTATATTTATGTGTATTTGTTAATACTATATATATATTCATATATACATATATATAAACAAGTATACATGAATCAAAAGTGTATTAAATACGTATTTATATGTATTAACAAACACACATGAATCAAGATGCATAAAAGATAAGAGATTTTGAATTAAATGATCTTAAAATGAGCATTTATGTTTTTTTAATTCACATTTTATTCTATGTATTTTTTATCAAATAAGTCTAATTAAGTGTATCAACTTTCAAAAAAAATCCAAACTACAATTAATACACCCTTATTTTAACGCACGCCACATTCTTTCCCTTTAACCGCGGTTAAATTTTAAAAACCCCATCCCCAAGAAATACTCACACTCTTCCTTCTGTCTCTGGCGCTCACTACTTTCAAGTTTCTCCCCTCTCAAGTCTCGCGTCTATATAGAGAGAAAAACTAATATCGAAATAGACTATTTGAGTGAGAGAGCTGTGTTAGAGAGAGAGAGAGAGAGAGAGAGACACTGACACTGGTTGCACCGCCGTTTTTTCCGCCGGAAATGACGGTGTTCGGCCACACAGGAGGAGGTGGTGGTTTCCTAGCCGGAAAACAGGTGTTTCCGGTGGACTATGAAGCGGAGGTATCTCAACGCCTTCTCGAATCTTCGCACTGTAATGATCTGAAATCGGCGTTGGAATGTATATCCGATCCGTTCGTCGACGTTAACTTTACCGGCGCTGTGTGCTTGAAGGTTCGAAAGACGGAGGTTGTGTTGCGGGACGAATTGCCGAACGAAGTTCGAGTCGAGTACGAAGAGTTCAGGACCGACGTTACGGCATTGTTCCTCGCTGTTCATACCGGAAATGTGACTCTCGTGAGAAAACTCCTGGTAAATTTGATTAAGCTTTGATTGGGACATTTCTATGAATTGATCATATTATTGTTGTTTGTTTAAATCGAGACGAGATGTTCTGTGAGACGTTGTTGGATTCAGTGATTGTCGCCCTGTGTGTGATTATAGTTTCTAATCGTTTAATGTGTTTCTTTGCTAGTTTCTTTTGTGTGTAATTTTTGCTATTTGCAGTTCGATGTGGATCTCTCTCTGTCTCCCCCCCTCTCTCTACATTGTCGCATTTTGTATTTTCGGGATCTCAGCTCCTTCGGTAATCTTCTACTTCTATATAGTCAATGATCTAATTCGAAATTTGAAAGTGGGTGCGTTAATAATATTTACTTTTTGAGTCGCTTTTTTCGCTCTCTGTTCTGAACAAATCTTCCGACTATTGTTTGCTCGGCTTAATTATTCATATTTTCACGTCAGCTCGCTGTTGAGCTCGAGGGAGTGGTCGGTGTAAGTTGGACACCCCGTAGAAAAAAAAATATTGATATTTAATATTTGGAGAATGAAGAATTTTGTTTTTAATTATTGAGCCCCACCTTTTATATTGCAGTAGAGTTTGAGATTTTAACTTTTGTCTAGATTTTATATGTCTTTTTTATTGAAATTCAGTTAATCAGAAGTTTGAGAGGCTCATGAAACGATTGTTTTATACTGCTTTTGAATTTGTTGGTTTTTCATATTTCAAACTTCTTGAAACATTTTTGTTCAGCATATGTATACCACTGTTATCAGCATGAGGACTGGGATCTTCTAGACTATTTTGGCGTGAAGCAGAAATTATGTTAATCAGGACGATCTTAAATCTTCTTATACTATACATTCTTGCTTCAAGTGAGGACTTTCGATGTTTAAGTGGGTCAGTTTTGTGTGTTTGGCCTCATTTTAATGATGTAGGAGTGTTTTTTTCTTTTGAAAAAAAACCAAATAAAGCTCTTTATTCCTCTTATTTCTTTATTAATTGATTGTCCTTCCTTTTTCACTTCAATGATCCCATAAATGAATGTTGATTTTTGGGTAAAACTAGATCTCAAAGTTTCCTCTGATCTTTTGAATTGGTTCCTTGTTAAATTTTGAGTTGGTAACAGTTAGCTCTGGATTTTTATTCTGGTATTTGAGGTCATTAATGCGTATGGATCCTCATGTTGAAGCATAATATTAGAGGAACTTCAAAGAGAGATCCACCATTATCAGCAAGGAGAAGATATCCTCACAACCCACTGCTGACACTTGCAGTCTTGGACTGTATTGAACCATTATTAGGAAACACCCTTCTTAATAGTTTACAAACCCAAGAATATCCTGCTGTAGTTTTTTCGGCCAATAGACTTTGGACCTATTCATAATGCAAAGCTGGTTGTCGCATTTGGGTGTCAATATCCTCTGCATATGCATATTATCGGATGTCAGGGAAATCTTTTTCACTGTTCACGCCACTGGGTTTGTTTTGGGTTGGGCATGGATGGATACATCGTATGAATATGTTCCATAAAATGAGAATACTAGGAAAATAATGATGCATAACTAATGTTTGCTCATAAAATAATATTTTGTTGAGTTCTTTAGGTAGCTTAATTTTGTACGAGAAAACATATGAAGAGGACTGCATCTAGGATAGTACCAATTTTTTTTTTTTGCGGCTCTTAACCGAATAATACCATTGCTAAAGGTCAAAGACAAGTTCCAACTATTTATGATCGATCACAACATTTTATGATCAAATACAAATGTTATGATCGATCATGAATAACCTTTGTTGTAAAATGTGTAACTTGACCTTAAAAAGTTAAATTTTTATGATCGATTACAGTATATTTTAATTGATCATAACTTTTTCAATTATATCTTACTCCCTTAACAGGTTGTACCTTGTTCTTAAAACATTGTACAACTCGGTATGTACCTTCTTCAGCTTCGCAGTTGTCTGCCTGCCACTATGGTCTTAATTTGGATCCTTTCCATTGTGTTTTGCTGTTATTTTTTCTTTTTATTCTTCTAACGTAATCTTAATTATTATCTGGAAAAACATATATTTAATCCATGGATATGCATCCAAAATCATGGTACTCCATCTAGAAATTGTTGCAGTGTTATCTTTTGTAGAGTACTGTTTTGAGATCTATTCAAGCCCAGGTGCGTCCTCACTCTTCAACTCATCGTGAATACTGTGGTTTACTTTTTGGTTACATGGTATTGTGCTGTTTACTATGTAATCAGCTCGTGTCGAACTATCATTTTGGTTTAAGGGAAGAAAGATGATAAGAAAGTAGAGAGAAGGAAAAATGAAAAATGGGTTTTTCCATTATTTGAGAACCGAGATGCATGTATCTGAAACTTAGCTACATGATTGTCTTTTGGGTGTTTGTTGTTATTGGTCTTTTTACCTAGTTTCTCTGGCATATTTGTTATTAGTAACCGAAAACTAATTGGTGAATTTAAGTTGTGGTAGAAGACAAACAGCTGCACTTTGATCCTATTTGACTACATAACAGCGACTAGGAGAGCTAGTTACTACGTAAACAGATTGCTTTGTGCTTGTTCTCTGGTTATTATGTTATAGGTATCTCTTCTTTAGTTCCTTGGGAATGTAACATACCCCTAAGATAAGGCATATTTCTATATTTGGGTGGCAAGGGCCCATTTGAGCTGTGTACAAGTACTGACCAACCGTAAAGATACATAGCAGCATAGGTACATGATACATTCCCCATCAACAAGCTTCCATCTGCATCGTAATGAAAGCTTCTTGCCCCACCGTCTGTCACATCAGTTCTTCCCTCCTTTTTGTCTGCAAGTGGCCATGACCACCTGCACTCAATGGAGAATCCTGGACACTTCTCCTGGTATTAGCTTTGTATTGTTCTTCTGACTTAGCTAAATTTTGAGCAAGGAAAAAACAAATGCACGGTATGTCTACTTCTGGGAGTCTTTTCACTGTCTCTGCAATTTGGTGAGGGTTGGATATCCCTAATAAATTCCTCGGGAATGTATCAACAATATCCATAGGCTAAGGAATATTTATTTATGGGCAGGGCAAGACCCATTTTGAGTTGTGGACAACTATTAACCGATGTAGAGCCTAAAGGAAATAAATAACAGCATAGACACAAATTGTCTGGCCCATCAGTTATGTTTCCCCCTTTTTGTCTTCAAGTGTGCATGACCTCCAGCTCTCAATGAAGAATCCAAGGGTACTGGCAGTGTATTCTTTTTCTGTACCTGGGTTAATTTCTAGCAAAGAAAAGAACAAATGCATATAATGTCTACTTGTGGAGTTTTTTCACCGTCTCTGCAATATGCTGAGTGTTGGCATTTTTTTCGAAATGACAGAGTATGGGAGCCGATGTGAACCAGAAACTTTTCAGGGGCTTTGCAACAACTGCATCAGTAAGGGAGGGCCACCTTGAGATCTTGGAGATCTTACTCAAAGCTGGGGCATCTCAGCTGGCTTGCGAGGAGGCTCTGTTAGAGGCCAGCTGTCATGGGCGTGCAAGACTTGTGGAGGTGCTTATGGAATCTGATCTGGTTCGGCCCCATATTGCCGTGCATGCTCTTGTTACCGCTTGCTGCCGAGGGTTTGTGGATGTGGTGGATGCTCTCTTGAAGGTAAAATATCATAGTCACCGACCAATATCTGCTCTCCAACAACTATTTGAGAACAACATTATCTGCATTGCATGCTAAGTAAATGGGTAAAACAAAAATGGTGTTTGTTTAATATTTTCCTGCCTCAACCACAACAGTAATTAATGGAAAATTCAAACTTTACAGATTTTTTTCCATTTAGTTCTTTGGTTTCAGAGTCACATGTGTTTGTTTGATACAAAGGAAAAAAAAATGAAAATAATAGCCTAATTAAAAAAAAAAGAAAATAATAGAAAGTGAAGTAAATGAATGAAAATGCATTTTCATGACACATTTGGTTATGATGAATTTTTTTTGCAGAAAGTTGGAACATTTTCTCTTGGCTAAATTACCCTTTAGTGCAAGCAACTTAGACATACGTTGCTGTATTTATCAAGTGTTGTGGAAGTGCGAAAGAGACTCAAATAATACATTCATACTTTTCATAAAAATATATTTTATAAAAAATAATCAACATATTAAAAGGTATATGTTGGACACATGAGAAATGGAGAAACTGTGTGACAGAGGCTTTGTGTTTCATTGGAAAAAAATGTAACTGTGCAATGACTCCTTGACAATAAAGGATCTTAGTTCAAGTATATGATGTCAAGTGGAGGACTTCAGGGGCATGGTGGGAAGTGGGTAAAATAGAACCATTTTTTCATGGAAAAATAAAATTTTCCGGTACATTTTGGAGGAAATTGAAAGTGAATGTTACAAGCTTATTTTGGTTGTACAAGAATCTTTAATTTCTTACACTTTCTACCACAATTCTGCCAAACAAACACGTAAAACGTTGAGAGATCCACTCATGCATAGCTTTGACTAAGAATAATAATGCAAGGGAGTCTTCTTCTTTGAAATCGCCCTAACTTCCAATCCACCATGGGTGGGACCCCTTCACTGACAGAAAGAACTCGTTGTATGGTGTACCATTCTCTTGCTAAACAAAATTAGTTCTTTTTTTTTTTTTTTGTTGCTTACCTCATGGGATTGTTCAACTTGGAAAATATGAATATGTGACACAATTCAGTTGATTTTGACTATTGAGGTAAGAAGACATACTATATTGGCTCCTTATGTTTCTTTCTGGACAAATACCTTACTCCTGTCAGTTAGCCATACTTTTGGCTCCCTGTGCGTGGAACAAGTCAATTCTTGAACTTTTGCCATGCTTTAACCTAGATTATTTGACTTGCATTCTTGACATTATCCGATTTGCTTAATGGCAGTGTGGAGTGGATGTGAATTCAACTGATAGGGTGCTGCTTCAATCATCTAAACCTCCTTTGCACACAAATGTTGACTGTACTGCACTTGTAGGTGCTGTTGTTAGTAGGCAGGTCGCTGTTGTCCGTCTGCTACTACAGGTATATTACCCGTTCTAAAAAAAAAAAAATATTGTTCTAAATAGAATAGTATGCACATATTTGGTAGATGCCCCACCCACCTGGCCTGCGCCAGGGTTGGGATGGTATTTCATTTCCGATAGAAGTCCAACAGTCCCAAAATCTTACCTTGGACTAACAGCATTGGACTATTCAAGAAACGTGATTTGCATGATAATGAACAATTCACTTGGGAATAACCCTTTTGCAAATATCAGAAAGGCAAGTCCCCTTGGTAATGTCGGTTTAACAAATGTGAAATAGCTAGTGTTGTACTTTTGGATGGCGATGCCATGGTTGTGATGGTTCAAAAAAGGCATGGGAAATGCAACTGATACTTAGCTGGCCTTGGCGAAGTAGGTTGTGTAAGGAGAATTCGGCATTGGCTTCCCAAGTGACAAATCTAAACAATATTTTTTCACAGCTAATTGTGAATCTGTGTTTTAAACAGGACTAACAAGCCTTTTTTGTGTTCTTTCAATGAATAATAAGGCAGCTGGTGTGAGGACACAGATTAAAGTGCCCTTGGGAGCTTGGTCATGGGATACGGCTTCAGGTGAAGAATTTAGAGTGGGTGCAGGACTGGCAGAGCCCTATGCCATCACCTGGTGTGCAGTGGAATATTTTGAAGCAAGTGGTGCCATTTTCCAAATGCTCCTCCAACACATCTCCCCCAACAACCTTCACTATGGAAGATCTCTCCTCCACCATGCCATCCTATGTGGCAATACAGGAGCCACTAAGGTCCTCTTGAATTGTGGCACCGACATAGAGTCCCCTGTTAAAACCTCCGAGAAAACCGAATTTCGTCCAATACACATGGCTGCCCGTCTCGGATTGTCAACTATTCTTCAATGCCTGATTGACTCTGGCTGTGATCTGAATGCAACAACAAACACTGGTGAGACAGCTCTGACGATTTGTGCAAAATACAAGCAAGCAGACTGCCTTAGGGTGTTGGCAACAGCTGGTGCCGATTTTGGCTTGGTCAATATAGCAGGCCAGTCCGCTAGTTCAATTGCTGGGTCAAATCGATGGTGCCTCGGTTTTCAGCAAGCTGTGCTAAACTTAATTAGGGTCGGAAAGGTTCCCAAATCAAGCAACATTTCTGTCTTTTCACCTCTAATGTTTGCCGCTCGATCAGGAGATGTTCAAGCCTTAAGAGCTCTGATTGAGCAGGGAGAAATTAACCTTGATAGTCAGGATGACAAAGGTTTCTCGGCAGTCATGGTTACTGCCATGGAGGGACATGTTGAAGCCTTCCGGTTGCTTGTATATGAGGGGGCTGATGTAAAGCTCAGTAACAAACTTGGCAAGACAGCGATTACGCTGTCTAAATTGAATCAGAATCACGATCAATTTGAGAAGGTACTGCTTGAATTCGCCCTTGAAAAGGGGAGTCAGTGCGCTAGAGGTTTTTATGCCCTGCATTATGCAGCTCGCCGGGGAGACTTAAATGCAGTTAAATTGTTGACAAGTAGGGGTTATGATGTGAATGTTGCTGATGGGGATGGCAACACACCACTGATGTTGGCAGCAAGAGAAGGCCATGGAAGCGTGTGCAAGCTTTTGATCTCTAGTGGAGCACGTTGTGATGTCAAAAATGCAAAGGGTGAAACTGTACTTTCACTAGCAAGAAAGAATGGTGGCATGCAAAATAATACAGTGTGTATAATACTTGATGGGCTTGCTCGTAAGCTGGTGTTAAGCGGTGCTAATGTGCAGAAGCACACCAAGGCAGGGAAAGGAGCTCCACATAAGAAATTTCTCAAAATGTTGGGAAATGAAGGGGTACTGCAGTGGGGGCGTTCCAGCCGGAGAAATGTGATATGCGGAGATGCCGAGGTGGGACCAAGCTCTGGTTTTCGGAGGTTCAGGCAAAGGAAAGGTGATGGCGATGTACCCGGACTGTTTCGTGTAGTCACAACAAATAAGAAGGAATTCCATTTCGTGTGTCAGGGTGGACTGGAAACGGCGGAGCTGTGGGTGAGAGGAATAAAGCTTGTGACAAGGGAAGGAATGTTTGGTAAGATGGAGAGTGGTCCATGAATCGGGAAGTTATATCTAGAATATTTAGACAATGTTGCCTAATACTTCGTCTTGAAGTATTTGCAATTTTTCATTCACATTGTAAATGGTTTGATTTTCCTAGCTGTAAATGCATTTTGCAGAATTAATATCTGTGGAAAAGGCAAACATAGTTTGTGCGTAAGTGAGTGAGCAATTTTGTGTTGAAAAAAAATAAAATTTTACCCCCTGACCTCTTCATAGGACACTGCAACCTTATCTGGATCCTGGATAGGCTCATCCCAGAGACTATTTTCCTTTGGTGGTGCAATGTATACGACTGTAGAAGAGGTATTCTTCATTCAGGAAGTTATGGGCCTTGCTAGTCACCATTGGCTCAGTTGTGTTTTGTTGGGTTAGGCACTGGCCGCCTGCTGGTATACCAGGGAGGAATTACGACGGTAAGGATTTGAGGTTGGTGTCATTTGCTTCTTTCAATGATCGGGCCTAATCTACTTGGAGTTCCCCCAACACACTGATTCTACCCAATTTCATCTGGATTAACAACAGATGATCTGAAATTAAAGAAAATATATCCATGAGTGAATCTATACCAGCTCGTGATCGACCGTTATACTAATATAATTAAGTTCGTTTTCAACAGTGGTAATAAACACAATCAAGAATTTTATAATTTAACCAGTAAAACTTTATCGGAGTGATTTTTTGATATTCTATTTTGTCTTTCTTTTAATATCAAAAAAAAAAAAAATCTAAAAAACCTTTAATTTCTTGGATTCACGGGAACTAGATTACCAGGTTTCACATATTTTTAAATCATGGATGGTTTCACATAAGAAAGTAAGAAAAAATATATTGAATCAAATCCCATGTTATTGTAGTGATTAACGTTGCTACCGTGATATATAGCGGCGACACGTACCACCGTAAAGTTGGCGACCTAGCACCACATGAGTAAAATTGAGGGATTTGAAAAGTTACCGTTTTGTGTACGGCCCCAAGGGATAAGAGCGAAAGCTGACACTTTTACAGCCAGTAAATATGTACAGGAATATTTACTAAAAAAACAAACTGTCCTGGAATAAAAATGCCCCTATTTGACAAATATAACCCTGATACCGAGAATATATATAATACATATTGGACAATGTCACTTTGACTCCTCTAATTGATCTAATTTGTTTATCGTTCAATATAGTCTTCATTTAGTCCTAACCAATTACTTCTTTTTAATCAATTTCTGAACAAAAGTATATAATACAAGTAAAAAGTAAGTTGAAATAGAAAAAGAATAGTCATTTCAAGCCCAAATTATTATTAAGCTCAAGTGACAAATTTACGTCAAAGAAATTCACGAAACTTTCTCTCTTAGAAAAATGAGAGACGGGATATTTATTCCAAACATTTCTTTATTGTACGCATAAATAAAAAACTAAAATGAACCGTACCTCTTTTATTAATAAAATAAAAAAAATTTAAGACCTTATTTTTATACACTAAAAGCGTTCTAGCGGATTATTAATGAGTGTCTGAGCTCATCACCCACATGTATGGTTGCTGTCTATAGAACTCAGAATACCGGTCCGTCACGCGATTTTAAATGTCTTTTTAGCTATCTATGTTTTGATTGTGCTTTCATCCGTCATCATCAGCAACCTAGCAAAAATGAAAAACAATAGGAATATCAGCAAGGTCATTTTTGTCTTTTGTAATTCAAAGATTTTATTATTCTTTTTTAGCAAGTCTCAAAATGCCAAAACACATTTTATTATTAACGTTCCCATAAAAATTGTTGACAAATAAATGATTAATGAAAAAATCGGAGGCTTCCTCAGTACTCCCCCACTCAGGGCAACCGTTTTTCTTCACCCAGAAACACCCTTCTTTCCTCAGTTGCAGAGGTTTCGTGCTTTTGACTTTCAGAAGAAAGTTCACAGACTTGGGGCTATAGAGGAAGATAGTTTTTAGAGAGAGAAACAAAGATAGGGAAACAACAGAAGAACATGTTCTACTCACAGTGGCTTCTCTCCAAGAAGGGCCCTTTAGGCACCATATGGGTTGCTGCTCATTGTCACAAAAGGCTCAAGAAACAGCAAGTTAAAGAGACTAACATCTCTTCTTCTGTAGGTGAGTCTCCCAATTTCATTCTCAGTTTCTTCTCTTGGTCTTTACAATCTTTCTGCAGTTTGAATGGTAGAGAGAGAAAAGAAAACGAACAGAATGGGAAGTATTTATACATGGTCATAATGCTTTCCTTTTTAAGCCTCTATAGAGCTGATTCTTTTATTTTTTGCTCCGGTTTTCTCAAAAATCAAACGTAGGATATGCTGGTTTTGTTTTGTTATGTATTTTATTTACTTTGTGTATGTGTTGTTTTCACTTTGGAGACGCTGAGAGAGAGTTATTTTTTTTGAGTCTATTTGTTACGTGAGAAATTTAGTGTAATGGGTGTTGGATGTGAGGTCGTAATTTGTATAGTAACTGGATTTGTTCGTATTAGTCTGGAAGTGTGTTTATCTACTTGTTCAGTTCTCTTTGCTGGTAAAGTTATTCGTAACCTAGAATTCGTATTTTCCTATGGCTACTTGATTGAATCTTATGACACAGTTAGTTTGCTATACTTGAGCACTTCAATTACTCATGAATATTTTCCTGGGGAGTGGAGCGCAAGGAGTAATTTAGATTTATTGATTGATTCCACTAGATTGATTATTTGTGCATATGAGATAGAAACAACCAAATCATACTATGATGGTCTATTAAATTGTACCCGTTGTCATTATTGGTGCAATTTGCTGTTTCTTTTTCTCTGCTTTTCAGTTATAATTTTTCTTTCTCCTCAGCGTAGTTAATTACCAACCAATGTTCTGGTTGAATCGTGAAAATTTCATTTTTCCAGGAAAAAAGAACTATTATTCCAGTCATGAAATTCAATTTCTCGTCCACATTGTCTGTCCCTCCAATATAATTTAGTTAAATTTACAATAACGTTTGTGCTAGATGGCAAAATGTACATCTTCTGTCCCTTGATTTCAAATTAATTAAATTTACACTAAGTTTATTGTTAGATGGAAGGAAAGGAATTCGACTTTGTTGGAGTCCTAAAATTGGCCTGAACAATAATTGCCAACCACTAAGGGTACATGCATATAGGTGTGCAATGATGCAACTTAGTTTGGAACACATGGTACACAAACTGGGACTCAGAAGGCCTGATAAATGGCTAATGATCCTCGAAAGTTTGCATTTTTTGACTTATGTAATATCAACTTCGTAAGTGGCTTTCTTCTGAAAATTGTACATCTTTGGAACACATGGTACACAAACTGGGACTCAGAAGGCCTGATAAATGGCTAATGATCCTCGAAAGTTTGCATTTTTGACTTATGTAATATCAACTTTGTAAGTGGCTTTCTTCTGAAAATTGTACATGTTTTCTCAAGTTTAGAAAGTGGCATTCACATTGAGTAGAAGTGTTTTGTTCAGCATTTTTTTACTGGGCATCACAAATAGTATGAGTCTGAGCTGGCCATTTGCACCTTTTTCCTTGTTGATTTTAAATTCTTTGTAACATCTCATTTCATGCAGCACAACATTTAGTGAGGGTATTTAGCGAGCTGATGTTCATGGTTTTTGTTATCAACAAATTGTAACCGAAATGCTGCATGCCATGTTTCCTAATATTACCTGACCTGGATTTGGGACTGATGAGGATATAATCAAATGTATAGATTTGGCCCAGGAGTTGAATATCATTCACATTAGATTCATAGTCATATATCTTCTGCACAGAACAAAATACGACTGAAAAAATTGGGCCAGAACCCAATATTGGTGGATTGTATATTTAAAAATGAGGAAAATATTTGTCTTTTCTGTTCCTTCCTTTGGTTGGATGAACTCAATCGGGGGTTTATCAAATCTTCTATTTTACTACAAACAAATTCATTAGTGCATGGCCATCCAGGTTGTTATATAACACAATTTTGGGTGGTGATGGGGTAGCTTTACTGCTGGTGCTATATTTTTGTTTGGGGGTGGTTGCTGTTACTGACACCAGTGGTGTGGGGTGATATTTTTTTTTCCCGGCAAATATTGATGGGGATATTTATTGCTCGTATTTTTTGTCAAAAGGGGGGAAAGTATATCACAAGGACAATGCATTCTCCGAGATATATTTGCGTACTCAAACATCATCAAAATATGAATCATATAAAATGTAAGTCAAAATGCCATATTAATTGGGTTTGTGTTGGAAGTTTAGTCATTGTTGACATGGATTTATTAGTTGAAAATTAAAATCACATGTCCTGTTTGGTTTTAGTTTTACATGCCAGATGAGTTTGTCCAACAGTGACAAAACTCTGCATTATTTTTATCATAGAAACAAAATTTGGTTTCGTATCTTGTGTAGATTTTTCTAATTTTATCCTCCATATTCTGCCCCTTCTTGTTCCTCATTCAGAAAAAATTATGCGAGATGAAGTTCCCATTGTCACATACAGAATACTAGCATACCTTCTTCTGGGTGTTGTGAGGGTATTCTCGATGAAAGTTGAGTATCTGTTCCATGACTGTCGTAATGTGCTGACTAAAATCACTGAATTTTCGGGTAGCAAAAAAGCTAAGGCAAATATGGAGGCCATGTGTGCACCTTTTCACTCTATTACCCTGCCAGAGAGTTTTGAACTTGAAGCTTTTAATCTGGAAGTCTTGGAAGATGTAAGCGGGTATGCTATATGCTTGTTGCAAAATTAAGTGTTTTGGGGTTACGCCTTTCTCACCAACCATCTTTGACCACCTTCTGTCTTCTGAACTGCAGTGCTAATGTGAGACCTCATGAAGAGATCTTGCTTGAAGGTATTGATTAGCTCTATAATCTTTGGTAGTTTGCAATACTGTTTGACAGAATTGATCCTCTTGTAAACAGATGCATGGAAAAATGAGGGCATTGGTTTTGACTCCTTTGACAAGGTACACATTACATATTTTAATTTTTGATGTATGTCAAACGTGTCATATCTAGTACCAAAATTATGGAAATGGCCCAGATGGTTGACACTGATTCTGGTGGGCTGTTTAAGAAATTAACTGCTTTAGGTATAACTAGTTATTTGACTGGCAAGGAATGTCAAGCATTTGATGTACACGGCGCAACAAATCAAACAATTATACCGAGCAAAAATTTTACTAAAAGATAAGAATTAAATTAAAAGAATAAATCATGTATTAAAAAGAACATTGAACCAATAATAAATGCTATATTTCATTGAAAGTATCTCCCCTAGTTTTAGTTGGGCTTTAGCAAGCTATAGAACTACTAGAGAAATATGTGTGAGTTAAAAGGGATACAAACTAAATGTAGAGAAGGAAAAACTTAATAAACCCTAATAAACTAGGCTGCTATATTTTCAACACTCCCCCTCAAGTTAGGCCCAAAAATATCAACTAAGCCAAGCTTGACAACGGAGTCCCGAATAATGGATAGAGTGATAGGTTTGGTGAAAATGTCTGCAACCTGATCACTGGTCCCCACAAATGGTGAAGTGACAATACCACTGCTAACCTTTTTTCGAAGAAAGTAAACATCGATCTTTATGTGCTTCGTCCTCTCGTATAATATAGAGTCAGAAGCGAGCTGAATAGTAGATCGATTATCACAATATAATGTAGATGGAAAAGTCATTGGAAATCCCAACTCGCCAAGAATCGATTGTAGCCAGATAATCTCACATGTGTCAAGTGCCAGTGCCCGATTCTCTGCTTCTGTTGACGATCAAGAGACAACTGACTGTTTCTTGCTCTTCCAAGAGATAAAATGAGTCTCTCGAAAAGCACAGAAGCCTGTAGTAGATCAACCATCACACGCTCCCCATAATCTGAATTTGAATAACAGGCTAGAAAACCAATCTGAGATCCTAATGCATGAACAACCCAAGTCCAGGACAAGCCTTAAGGTACTGGAGAATATGATAAATTGCATCAAGATGAGGCTGACATAGTCTGTGTATAAATTGACTAACTCGGCTGACAGCGAATGAAATGTCTGACCTAGTGTTGGCTAGGTAGATAAGTCTACCTACCAAGCTCTAATAGACAGTCGGATCTTTCAACTTTTCACTTTCAGCAATAAGTTTCAGGTTTGGAATCATGGGTGATGATGACGGTTTGTACCCCAGCATCCTAGTGCCTGAGAGAAGATTCAGAACATACTTTCTCTGAGAAAGAACAATACTTCTGTTGCTGCAGGCAACCTCAATTCCAAGAAAATATCGCAAAAATCCAAGGTCCTTTACATTGAAGGCCTTTTCAAGGTCTACCTTGACCTACGCAGTCTCAGAACCATCATCTCCAATAATAATAATATCATCAATATATACTAAAAGGATGACACATTGTCCAGAAGTATTCCCTTGAATGAAGCAGGAATGATATCTGGTGAACTCTAAATGTACAACTACATCACTAAAGCGAGAGAACCAGGCTCGTGGTGACTGTTTTAGTCAATAAAGAGACTTATGCAGTCGACATACCTTTCCAGCATACTCCTCCTCACCACGAAAGCCCGGTGGTGTATCCATATAAATAATCTCGTCCAGATCACCGTGAAGAAATGTATTCTTCACATCCAACTTATGAAGTGACCAAGAGTATTCCGCAGCCAGATAAATAATTAATCGAACAGTTGTCAATTTTGCCATGAGGGGAAAGGTAGCACCAAAATCACGATCTGTTATCTGAGTAAAGCCCTTCGCCACAAGTTTAGCCTTGTGATGATCAATAGTACTATCCGCAAGAAATTTTAGGGTGTAAACCTAGCGACAACCAACAGGCTTCACCCCTGAAGGTAAAGAGACAAGATTTCACGTATGACGACGCTTCGTCTGCATGGCAAGAGCCCACTCGGGCTCCCGCATAACCTCTGAAACAGAGCTAGAAACTGGTGTATCTGATAAGGCCATACTATAAGTTCGAAATGTAAAAGGCAAATCACTATAAGAAATATAAGTAGAGATCGGATATAAAATCTTGGCGGTCCAACCATAACGAACAACTGGATGACGATCACGCTGTGGATAACGACGCCTTAAATCATTATCCTCCACTAACAATGTCTCATCAGGTAAAGCAACTGGCTCAGTACTTGCAATCTCATCAGTACTAATAACAGGTGCATCAATATGTTCAACGAATTGAGAAGTATTATTTGCATCGCCTGAGGTAGAGGGGACATCAGCAGGGGGATGAGAGCGAGGGCGATGAACATAAACCTGTAAATGAAGAGAGACTGGTGACTCTGTACCAACAGGGATGAGTGGCTTTGGAGGAGGAGAGACTGATGAGTCTGTAGTGATAGTGACCAATGAGTTTGGCACCGGTGGTAATGGAAAATCGAAGGGATTATCATCAACTGGAGAGGCAGACACAAGACTGGAAGAAAAATAAGGAATATGCTCAAGAAATGTAACATCTAGACTGTGATACATACGGTGCCTAATAGGATCATAACACCGATACCCCTTAGAATGATGACAATAGCCCACAAAGACACAACAAATCGCTTTATCATCAAGCTTATGACGAGTAGGAGATCGATTCTGAATAAAACATGTGCATCCAAAAACACGAGGGGGGGACCGAAAAAATGTCCGCTTAGGAAATAAGATCTGTAAGGGAGCCCTATGTTGAAGAACATGACTCGGCGTACGATTACACAAAAAGATAGAAGTCAAAACAGCAAAATGCCAATAAGATTTTAGTACTCTCATGTCTCTAAGCATACAACGTACCATCCCTATCAGACTCCTATTTTTTCTTTATGCAATATCATTTTGCTCAGAAGTATATGGACAAGTGAGTTACTGAAGAAGACCCTGTGACATTATCTGAATGAAAAGCACGAACAATAACATCGAATTTTGTCTTAATTGTTAATGTTTATCAATAAAAGAGGAAAGATATATTGATTCAGAATAATCAGAGTATTACAGACAAAATTGAGAGATAAGCTACACAATAGTAGTCTTATATACTAAGGCAAACATAATAACATAAATGACTAATCTACCCCTAAAGCTAATATACTAGATTACTCTAACATCCCCCCTCAAACTCATGATGTGATAGCATCCAACATCAAGAGTTTACCAAGAAGAAACCGAAAGCGTGCGATAGTGTGCGATTTGGTGAAGAAATCTGCCAACTGCATTGTTGAAGGCAGATATGGGAGAGATGTCGTGCCTAGCTGAAGATGATGGCGCACGAAGTGACAATCAATCTTTATATGTTTGGTGCGCTCATGAAACACCGAGTTATGAGCAATCTGGATAACACTGGTGTTATCACAATACATAGGAATAGAAGTAGTCAAAGAAATGCCAAGATTAGCAAGCAACCAATGCAACCAAACTATTTCTACTGTGGTGGATGTCATAGCACGATACTCAGCTTTAGCAAAAGATCGAGTTACAACAGTTTGTTTCTTGCTTTTCTAGGAAATAAGAGAATCACCAAGAAAGAGATAAAAACCAGTGGTGGATTTGCGATCCCTAGAGTCACCAGCCCAGTCTGCATCAGAGGAAGCACGAAGCTCCAGAGACGAAGAGGAAGAAAATAATAAACTATGATGTAATGTACCCCAGAGATATCGAAGAATCCAAAGAACAACAGACCAGTGAAGTGTGGTAGGAGCAACGACAAACTGACTAATCACATGAACTGCATAAGCAATATCTAGACGAGTAATAGTAAGATACACCAAACTTCCAATAATAGTACGATATAAGGTAGGATCAGACAGGAGAGAACCATCAGAGGAAATATACCAAACATTGAGCTCCAAGGGTGTGTCTGTTGTTCGGGTATCTGATAAGCAAGCTCGCTGAAGAACATCTGAGGCATATTTTGACTGAGAAAGAAGATAACCTTTGGAAGAGGAAGTAACCTCAATCCTTAAGAAGTATCGAAGTGGACCCAAATCTTTCATCTTAAAATAATCCTGTAACTGAGTTTTTAATAACTGAATTCCCGCATTGTCATCTCCTGTAATAATTATGTCATCCACATAAAGTAATAGAAGAATGAAACCAGAAGGAGTGGATCGAAGGAAGAGAACAGAACCACGATCACTAGTATAGAAGCCTAAATCACATATGACTGAAGAAAATTTTGTAAACCATGCCCTCGGGGCCTATTTAAGACCATATAAAGCCTTTTGAAGTTTGCACACATGACCAGGACTACGAGACAACCCAGGAGGAGGAGTCATATAGACCTCTTTAGATAAATCACCATAAAGAAAAACGTTTTTCACATCTATCTGAGATAAGCTCCATTGACGAACAACTGCCACAAAAATTACTGTGCGAATCGTGGTCATCTTAGCCACTGGAGCAAATGTCTCATCATAGTCAAGCTCATACTTTTGAGCAAATCCCTTGGCCACTAATCTAGCCTTGTACCTTTCCATAGAATCATTAGATTGAGTTTTGATTTTATAAACCCATTTACAACCAATGGGGCATTTACCAGGAGGTAAAGGAACCAACTTCCAAGCTCGAGTCTTATGTAATGCAGCAAGCTCCTCATCCATAGCCTGTTGCCAAAGAGGATCAAGTATAGCCTCCTTATAGGAGGTGGGTTTAGACAGAGAATGTATAGAAGTCAGAAAAGAACAAAAATCATAAGAGTAATAGGAGTTGGACCAACCAAACCTGTCAGGACACTTTTGGGGCCGCTGAGGGTAACGGGGAGTGTGATCCACGGCGTCAGAATTTGATTGGGAGCCAAGAGGTGCAGATGAAGGCACAATATCTGTGGAGGAGACAGTGGGAATCCTGCGAACATAAGTATGCACAATCGGGGGACAGGT